GCTTATACAGCTTAGACACGTACTGAACAACTAGTGGGAACCTGGCAGTGTGGGCTCGAGGTGGTTTCCAGCAGGTGCTCGTAGCGTTCCGTCTGAACACGAGGAAGAATTTCTTCACTCTGAAGGTGATGGAGCCCTGGCCCAGGCTGCCCAGGGAGGCTGTGGAGTCTCCTTCTCTGGAGATATTCAAGCCCCGCCTGGACGCGGTGCTGTGCAGCCTGCTGTGGGTGACCCTGCTTCAGCAGGGGGTTGGACTGGGTGACCCACAGAGGTCCCTTCCAACCCCTACCATGCTGGAATTCTGTGATTCTGTTCCCAAGTGAGATCATGGAGCAGAGTAAAACCACAGCAAAGCTGTCTGCTGTGGAGAACGGGCAATCCCTGTCCTCAGGAGCTGGCTCGGGGTGGGCCCGGGCTAGGATGAAGGTGTGGGATGCAGGAGTTGGTGAGCTTGGCTTTGGGTGCCTGGGTCCCCGAGGTGCAGAGGGAAGTACTGGACGGCAGACAGAGTAGCAAATAAAAGCAAACACTTCGCCTGTCATAAGCTCTGGGACTCCGGGTGCTGAACTTGAAGGGGTTGCAGGCGTTCAGCCCCCCGCAGGGATGCTCTGGGGCAGCTCCGGCTTCCTCCAGCCCCGTCACCTGGCTGGACCCATCCTGCCTCCTTCCCTGCCCTCAGATGCGTGAAGAAATATCTCCCTGGCATCCCGCCCTGCGACTGGCACCGGGCGACGTGCGTGCTGAGCTCCCCATACGCCAGTTCAAGACATTTAGAGAGGGGCTCTGAGCTGTGACGGCGTCTGACCGTTGCCCGACAGCAGTGGGGACAAATGGGGGATTTGCAAAGGAAGGAGGGAGGACGGGGAGTTTTTGGGTCGCAGCTTGGTTTCGGGTGGGTAAGGCTGTATTACCAAGCGACCCCCCCACCGCCTGCTGTGTTTGCTGGTGCTGTGAGCGTGTGTGTGCACGGCCTGGCAGGATTTGCCCTGGGGAGGAGAGGAGAAGCCCCCAGCCCCGCTGCCTTCCCTCTGCTCCCCATCCCCTCACGGAAAGCCAGGGGCTGGAAAGGGAGAAAAAAAAGGTCAGAGGATAAAAGTTGCTGTGCCGTGGACCTGAAAAGAAGTCTGGTTAAACTGGTGTGGGAAGATTAATGGTGGTTTTTCTTTTCTTTTTCTGTCTTTAAAGCCAGTGGAGGCGGGGGGGGGCGCAGGTTTGTTTTTACCC